TCTTCCCCACCTTCCCTCCCGTCTTCCCCTCCTCCCCTTCCCGTCTTCCCCACCTTCCCCTCTTCCCCTTCTTCCCCACCTTCCCTCCCGTCTTCCCCTCCTCCCCCCCCCCCCCTCCAACGGGAGTACCGGAGACTCATTTCGAGCCGCTCGGAGCGCCTTGCTCGTGCTTCCTCGTGTATGGAACGCCTCTCGCCTCCCTGCGATATTGCTTGTTGTTACAGCGGGGTTTCGGTTTGTTTGAAGTCGTGGGTGGCCCGAGGGAAGGGGGGGGGGGAATGGACTATCTCCTACTTTTTTTCTCTTTCTCCCCCTCATCCTCTTTCCTCACACTTACACCTCCTCCTCCCCCCACTCCTTAATCCTCTCTGTATCTCCTTTTTCCCCCCTTTCTGCACTTCCTCCCCCCCCCCCCTCTGCTACTTCTCCTCCTCCCAATCTTATAACGCCTCCTCCCCTCCCTCTCTAAGAACGCCCTCCCCCCTCTTCCGTCTCCTTCTTCTCTTCCTCTTCGTTCTTTTACTTCTTCCTTCCCCCTTCACTCCACCTCCACCTCCTCCTCCTCCTCCTCCTCCTCCTCCTCCTCCTCCTCCTCCTCCTCCTCCTTCTCCTTCTCCTCCTCCTCCTCCTCCTCCTCCTCCTCCTCCTCCTCCTCCTCCTCCTCCTCCTCCTCCTCCTCCTCCTCCTCCTCCTCCACCTCCTCCTCTTCCTCCTCCTCCTCCTCCTCCTCCTCCTCCTCCTCCTCCTCCTCCTCCTCCTCCTCCTCCTCCTCCTCCTCCTCCTCCTCCTCCTCCTCCTCCTCCACCACCTCCTCCTCCTCCTCCTTCTCCTTCTCCTCCTCTTCCTCCTCCTCCTCCTCCTCCTCCTCCTCCTCCTCCTCCTCCTCCTCCTCCTCCACCTCCTCCTCTTCCTCCTCCTCCTCTTCCTCCTCCTCCTCTTCCTCCTCCTCCTCCTCCTTCTCCTTCTCCTCCTCTTCCTCTTCCTCTTCCTTCTCCTCCTCTCCTCTCCTCTTCCTCTTCCTCCTCCTCCTCCTCCTCCTCCTCTTCCTCCTCCTCCTCCTCTTCCTTCTCCTCCTCTTCCTCCACCACCACCACCACCACCACCACCACCACCACCACCACCACCACCACCACCACCACCTCTCCTTCCTCCACCACCATCTCTCCTTCCTCCTCCACCACCATCTCTCCTTCCTCCTATCCCTCCTTCCCTCCACCACCCGCCGCTCCATTCAAGATAAGGCTATGGGCGCGACCTTGTTTCGAGGTCTCCCGCGACCTCCTTTCCCCTTCGATCAGCGCTCTTGTCTCGAGTAATGTGTCGGAGGAGTTGTCGCGGGGTGTGACGGCCGCTCGTCGTGGTTGCGGCTCGGCGGCGGTGATTGACGTCGAGATTGGACGTCGTGGTTTTGGCGGCGTCGGAGAGGGTCGGAAGCGGTCGCGGCGCCCGTTCCCGGAGGTGTTCTGGCGCGGGTGGGGGGGTGGGGGGGTCGTGGCGGCGGGAGGGTGACCGAATGGCAGTGCGAAGGAGTGCCGGTCTGGAAGCCTTGCTCGGGGGGAGTAATCCGGCCGGCGCTTGTAATATATTCGTGCAATTTGCGTTCAAGGCGAATGCATGCAATAACAGAATTCCAAAATGTAAAAATACGACATCAGCATGAAGCGGAATGGATACTCTATGATTGCTTGTCAGGCGGTATGCAAATGATTCACAAATATATGCATGATCTTCATTTTGTGCCGTGTTTATAGTGACTTGATGCCTCAGCGTGCACTGAGCAAGGAGCTGAAGTGGATTCATGATAACACTTCAGTTGATGTGTATCTTCGGGTGACGTGGTTATGATGTTTATGATATTACCATGAAATTGGTTATAGTAGCATAGTGTACCTAATGCTACAGTTTATGAATAACATAATGAGGCACGAGAGAGAAAGGAATAAAACTTGGTAACAACACCATCCATTTATAGCACAACATTGTGAGCAGCGACTGTATTTTCGTTGTTCAAGTGGCGCGATTCAATTACTGATTGTATGTTTATCTGGAGTACTGTCTAGGGTGGTTGGCCACCGTGTTACTAATTGGATTTATAATCGCACACGGGGAACAACTGGTAATGATTCCAGCTTGCATTTGTCGTGTGTGACGTCAGTGTCTTGGTATTTAAAATGTAAACAACGTTCATGTAAAGTGGAATGCTTGTACAACGTCGCAGGTAATGTTCGATATGTCTTTCTTCCTGTAATTAACCGAATGAGTATAGATGATATTTACTTTTTAAGGATGCTTCCTGAGTTCACACTATCTCCAGCGCCAGTCACAAAAAAACGTGTTCGTTGTCCGCAAGATGGCGGCTCGCGTTTCCCTTTGTAAATGTCCGGTCGGTTATTTTTATTTGATGTCATTGCCTAGGATAATTAACCATATAGCTGATTATAATCCTAAACACACAATAATTTTATCATTGCTGTGTGTGTGGCTGTTGATGCTTTAGCCTTCCCCGTTTTTCATTACGTACTATCAACAATTATGCAGTCAATATTTGTTTTTTATTAATTTTGTAAATGCATCCGCAATGATACAGTCACTTCAAGCTCGCAGTTGCCATAACAGAGCTCAGCTGAGTCCGTTTTTTGATGGTTTAGTTTCCTAGATGTGCGACACCAAATACGAATAAAAAACTACACTGATACATACCAGATACGTGGGTGAAATCGCGGTGTGGGAGGACAGCGCGTGCACACATACACACACCACATACACGCACACATACGTCCACACGCCACATAGAGAGGGAGAGAGATATGGAGAAGGAAAACAACGAAAAAAGGGAAGGAAAGAGAAGAAGAGAATCAATCAAGCGAGGGTTAGGAAAGCGGTAAGAGACACGGAGAAGGAGAGCGTTTGAGGAACAGGAGCAGATCACAAAGACAGGGATGAGGAGAGGGAGATGGGGGGGGGGGGAGATGAAAGACGAGCATCATATTAACCCTCGTATTTGGCCTCGTGTCAAGAACGACGTCTTTTTTTCTCTCTCTGTCTCTCTCTCTCTCCTTCGACAATATCACCAACTCGAAAATCTCAACGCAGACAGATTTGGTGGCGATGGACAGAGAGGCTGTATGCAAGTTATGGGTGATAGGTTGCAGAGTTGCTGCCAGTTGATACGCAGTCAGTCAGTCAGTCAGTCAGTCAGTCAAAGAGTTAGTCAGTCACTTATATGTTCTCACTGACACTCATTCTCATTCATTCACTCTCACTCATTCATATTTATCAATTTTATCCGTTTTTTTTCACAATCATCGGCTTCGTTGAAGCGCAGTTGAAGTCACACAGCCTTCTACTGCCGGCATTGCAGAAATCACGCAACATGTTTCTGACAAGTACGGAATCGCATGGCATACCCTTTTCCTGTTCTTTCTTCGCCTATTTGTTTTTAAAGTCGGCATTGTAGGTACCAAAGCCAGATTGAGGCCACGTCATAGGAAGAGAGTGGAAGCGAGGGAAGGCGAAAATAGGCTCGCCAAATGTCAGATCCGGGTTCCATGCATGATCTCCGAAAGATCACGGCAAGCAGGCTGACAGTTCGCGTGGTTATAGGCCTGTGCTGTTTTTATTCATTAATGTTTTTTTTTTTCTCGTGTTTGTGCTTAGGTGCCAAGGAGAGAGAGACACTTCTTAGCCATTAATTGCGGTCTTATCTTATTGTGTGGTTCTTATTGTGTGGTTAGAAAATACGTTTTCCCCACCGAGTTGATATTATGTTTGAAGTTGCTTTTGCAATTATTATTATTTTTTTGTTTATTTAAAAGACGATTAAAGGTGATATAGGTTGACGTATTTTATGTCAGGCGAAATATTGATAACATCATGTGACGTCAGCGGGTTAGTATACACCTTTACCCGCATTGCAGGTCATTCGTCTACAGTAATTGTTAGCTGATATCATGATTATATGCTGGCTTTGTTTCATTAATTCATTTTGACATTTTCACGCACAAGCAACTAAGTGTATGTAAAAAAAAAAAACTGGGTGAAGACACTTGTGTATGATTACACGTATTGACTTTCATGCAGTTGCGCACACAGAAAAATATGTTGATAGATTCTCTCTCTCTCTCTCTCTCTCTCTCTCTCTCTCTCTCTCTCTCTCTCTCTCTCTCTCTCTCTCTCTCTCTCTCTCTCTCTCTCTCTCTCTCTCTCTCTCTCTTTCTCCCTCTCCCTCTCCCTCTCCCTCTCCCTCCCCCTCTCCCTCCCCCTCCCCTCCCTCTCCCTCTGCCTCTCTCTCCCTCTGCCTCTCTCTCTCCCTCCCCCTCCCTCCCTCCCTCCCTCCCTCCCTGCCCTTCTCCTTCTGCTTCCCATAACCGACATATCTTCTATTAGCATATAGCTATGTGTATGTAAATGCATGTGCCCAAGTTCTTTCCTCTTTGATGGGGATGTCTGTAGAAGGGCGATTATGCTTGATTAAGGGCCCCGCCTCATCCGGATTAGAGGAAGTGCACCGACTTATATATGCGAATAATATAATCAGCCGGTAGTATCCGTTCTTCTAATCCGATTACGACATTATCTTAATGTAATAATGCGTGCGTTTCGGTCTCTCTATTGCGTTATGTATTTTTTTGTGTGTGGGGGGGGGAGTGGGGAGGGGCTGTGATGTCCGGTGGATTTGCTTACTTCCTTTTGTTTGTGTTTTTGTAATGTCGCTATCTTGTTTATTTTAGTTTGATGGAGTGGTGAATGTTTTTTTTTTTTTTTTCATTTCGTTTTTTTTTAACATCAGAAACGCCTATATAAATTACATGATATCCTTTTTTTCTCACACCTTTAATTTCTTAGTAACTCCGTCAAACAGTAAAAAAAAAAATAACTTCATGTTTTTCATTTTAGTTTAAGGATTTTTATAAGAAAAAAAGGAAAAGAAAAAAAAAAGATAACATACGCACACGGAAAGGGCCTACACATTAATCCTGTTTGTTTCTCCTTCGTTGCAGGTTGCGGAGAATGTGTTATACCACTGGAAGACCTTCCCCCTCCACCTCCCGCCTCCCGTTGCGGTCCAGAACGACCCCGCGTCCACGGCGTCGGCAGGTAGGTCGTGGCTGCTGCTGCTGGTTGTTGTTGTTGTTTTTGTTCTATTCTTTTTTTTCTTTTTCTTCTTTTTCTTCTTCTTCCTCCTCCTCTTCCTCTTTTTTGTTGCTGGTTCGTATTGCCGTTTTAGATACGTTTTCCTTTTCTGTTTATTTTTATGTTTATTCTTTATATAACGCTTTTACTCATGTTTACTCTCTCTGTCCGCAACCCTTGTAGGTCGTGACGTGGCCGCTTCCAGGCTGCGTGCACATGCATAGCAGATATGAGATCGATGAAATGTGAGATAAAGTCTTTTAACTGCGTGTAATTTCGTTTGATAGCTGCTCTGCTCCCAAGCGTCGTTTGCCGTGTTTGTCGACGAGTTAGATAACGATTCCTGAAAGACGTAAATTGCTGGAGAAATTCTGAGCTAATTGGGCTAAACGGTTTTGATATATATATATATATGCGTAGTTATTTTGAAAAGAAGCGATAGTCTCTTTGTATCCGAGTTCGAAACCTCACGCGCCACGCACGGC